GGAAATAATTGGAAATGATTGTCTAAACATATTTTTTTATCATAACTTTTTAAAGATTTGTATTTATAACTAATTGTAAGTTTCTTTTATAATTAAATGACGTGCGGGTTTTGGAATGATTCTGGAAATAAACTCACGACATGAAATATGAAAATTGAAAATTTTGTGAATTTTGCATCTTAATTTTCCCCGATATATATCGATATATAAGGTACATATTTTTATGTCTACATTATACATGTCCATTTCTATGTAACCAAAAGATGTAAAAGTACTTAAATAGTATGCATGACTACAATATTAAAAGAGATAATACTATAATCCATCTTTGTATGTTTATCTCTTTTAGTTACATTTACAATATATTTCTCTTTTTCTTCAAATCTCGTATATATATTTATTTCATTGTATATAAATTGGATAAATTTGATAACGCGTATTGGCCGAACATATTACGCATAAATTGATAAATATATTTCTAAACAGATTCCGCGTGATCGTGTGTATCTAAAAGATGAAACTAAATCTTCTAGCATCCGGCGACGTGTTGTTTCACACGCGTGCACGTGTTACGTTCGACGAACGTCTCGCGAGGTGAATGCCAGGCCGTTGCTGCCGCGACGCTTTCGCTTTCGCTTTCTCCTTCGCGTGCCATCTCGCAGTAACATCTCGGGGCCGATCCTTCTGCGGGGGAGAAAAAATTGGCTACGATTTATAGGAAAGCAATGTCACACCTACGCTTTGCGCGTATCGGTAATTTAATAATAGACCGAAGTCTACTTGTATTACATTGCACCGTATGACGATCATTACGAGTCGGATTCGCGAGCAATTGATGGATCGATCCGGGTATCGCGCAACACTATAGACACAGTACAAATGCTTCATGTTGAAATTTTCTGCGATATATTATTATTCAATGGCGATTTTATATTTTTTTTCTTCTAAAAAAACAGTGGTTTATGATTTTAATTTTTATGTAATAAATATCCGCGCCATTATTCACGTACGTGCAAATTTTATTAAATTTAAAATCAGAATCTTTTTGTATCTTTTCATCTTTATTCTTGAACTGACAGTTATAAGATGTATGAAAACTTTCCGAATCTTCAATTTGTTAAATATCAATTTTTTCATTAAGTATCAACAACTTGCGATGTTACGATAAGAACGTAGACCATCCGGCGCCCCGGAAACGATCTCCAAGTTCATTTCCGTTGCGACTTCTAATTAGCCGGAGATGAAAATCGGCGACGCGACATCGCGGATCGTCAGGTAGCATCGATTCGATCGTTCGGGCGTTCGTCGAATGATTTAGCCACAAGATCGCCTGAAGACGTTGCTGCCGAGCTTTTCCCTTCTCTCTCCTTTCTCTTTCTCTCTCTCTCTCTCTCTCTCTCTTTCTCTATTCGAATAAAAGTCGACGAGAGAAAAAGAGAAAGAGAGAGAGGGAGAGGGACCAGAGCTCGTAACGAAATTACTTGTTTTGAAACCCGGAGAAACCGGTTCTCAGAGTCGAGACTCTCGCTCGTTTGCCTCGCGTCGTCTGTGTACGGTTTCTACTCTCGGGCATGAACACACTTACACGTACGTATAAACCCTACTGAAATATACCGAGGCATATCAGGATACCTGGTGCGAGGTATTAGAAGCGGGTACACCACGCCGCACGCAATTTTCCGACTCTCGAAGGCAGCGACCTTGCCTCGCGCGCGCCGCGAAAGAAGGCTGCCGCACCGTCTCTCTTTCGGATGTCGCGGATTTTTAAAGCATATTTAAAAAAGATACACCTAACATATAATGACATCTAACATTTTTTTTTCAAAGAAATATTTGCATTTTTTTTTTTATGTGAACTTTGATTTGTAAAGAACAGATTAATTTTTTTTTAAATTTTTATTTCGCGCTTAATTTTTCGCATCACGTGGCACTTAATCGAAATAGATTTTTTATAAAATTTTTAACGAAGATGTAAAGATAACTCCATACTTGTATTATTCAAATATAAAAAATTAAAGTAAAAAAATCATTCCGATTAGTCAAGTATCTCGTCAACTAAGTGAAACATCTACATATCTATCTTTAATTCTGTGGTAACATTACAATTATTTGTGCAATTAATTGATTAAATTACGTCACATGCATTTGCGTGCTATGTCGCGTGCGACGAAACGGCTATTTATTTTTCGAAAGTACGTTGCCTTTTATCTCGCAGACGCAACAAACATCTATCGCGACAACAAGAAGCATCTCAGACTGGTCCTTTGTTCGGCTGCGGGATACGCATTACGATTCATTATAATGAAGATAGTCTGCGAGGTAGACTACCTTGAGGATAATGAGCCGATTATATACGGACCGTACGCGCAGCGAGATTGTCTTGATTATAATGAATTCGTCGGGAACGAAGACGGGGAACGAATGAGCGAGCGAGCGAACGAATGAAGGAACGAACGATTCGCTTCTTTCCGGATGCTGTTAAATGCTGCTAGTTGGTATAGCAGCCGATGCATAAGTGGTCTCTCTCTCTCTCTTTCTCTATTCGAATAAAAGTCGACGAGAGAAAAAGAGAAAGAGAGAGAGGGAGAGGGACCAGAGCTCGTAACGAAATTACTTGTTTTGAAACCCGGAGAAACCGGTTCTCAGAGTCGAGACTCTCGCTCGTTTGCCTCGCGTCGTCTGTGTACGGTTTCTACTCTCGGGCATGAACACACTTACACGTACGTATAAACCCTACTGAAATATACCGAGGCATATCAGGATACCTGGTGCGAGGTATTAGAAGCGGGTACACCACGCCGCACGCAATTTTCCGACTCTCGAAGGCAGCGACCTTGCCTCGCGCGCGCCGCGAAAGAAGGCTGCCGCACCGTCTCTCTTTCGGATGTCGCGGATTTTTAAAGCATATTTAAAAAAGATACACCTAACATATAATGACATCTAACATTTTTTTTTCAAAGAAATATTTGCATTTTTTTTTTTATGTGAACTTTGATTTGTAAAGAACAGATTAATTTTTTTTTAAATTTTTATTTCGCGCTTAATTTTTCGCATCACGTGGCACTTAATCGAAATAGATTTTTTATAAAATTTTTAACGAAGATGTAAAGATAACTCCATACTTGTATTATTCAAATATAAAAAATTAAAGTTAAAAAATCATTCCGATTAGTCAAGTATCTCGTCAACTAAGTGAAACATCTACATATCTATCTTTAATTCTGTGGTAACATTACAATTATTTGTGCAATTAATTGATTAAATTACGTCACATGCATTTGCGTGCTATGTCGCGTGCGACGAAACGGCTATTTATTTTTCGAAAGTACGTTGCCTTTTATCTCGCAGACGCAACAAACATCTATCGCGACAACAAGAAGCATCTCAGACTGGTCCTTTGTTCGGCTGCGGGATACGCATTACGATTCATTATAATGAAGATAGTCTGCGAGGTAGACTACCTTGAGGATAATGAGCCGATTATATACGGACCGTACGCGCAGCGAGATTGTCTTGATTATAATGAATTCGTCGGGAACGAAGACGGGGAACGAATGAGCGAGCGAGCGAACGAATGAAGGAACGAACGATTCGCTTCTTTCCGGATGCTGTTAAATGCTGCTAGTTGGTATAGCAGCCGATGCATAAGTGGAATCTGAGAATAAGAAGTCGAAGAGGAATGTGCTTGGAACGAGTACAATTACATGACTTACCGTTACATATTTATACGAGAAGTGATGTTATGAAAATTATCGTTTACTATCTTCTTCTAAAATCTTCCTCTTATACAGTAAAAAAAGATCGCGATACTTCTTTGTTTTCATCGCATCGTCGAAAGTAGAAAATTGAAAAATACATTATTTTAATTTGAATTGATATACGAATATTTTTTATGCAACTACTTTTTAATCTTTTTTCTTTGATATCATTATGATTGCTATAGAAAATCAATTTGAAAAAACATTTTAAATTGCAAAGAAAAATATATTTTCTGAAAAGATTTCTTCTCTTTTTAAACTGTTTCAGTTTGACATACGGTATCGTTAACACGTTAAAAGACTTTATCCTGTCATATTCGCCAACGCAACGAACTGCTCAATATCGAACGAGAAAGTATGAAAATGAAATGCACTCGCGAATTGTCACCGCTAAATGGATTCGGCGCACGTTCTCGCGAAATGCAGTCTTCGCGTTGAATTTTTTTTTTTCGCGTCGTTCGCTGACGCATCCTCTCTTTATGAATATTCCAGTGTTGATTACGGTGATGCCGTGCCATTGTTGCTTACCGGAACAGCCGTTGCTTGTTCGCGATCTCTCTCTTGTTCTCGATTCGAGAAACGAGGATTTCGATACGTTGCGATGTTGTCTATACTGAATAAAAGATTGAATTGTTTTCATCCATTTAAAAAATTACATCAATTAATATAATCACTTATTAATAAAATTGATATCCTTAATGAAATTATCTGGCAATAATGCTCGAGTATCGCTCGTAATAATGACGAAATGCATAAATTGCAATTTCAGTATTAAAGTAAAAAGTAGCGAACCTAATATATAATTATTGGCGTGAATGATTATCGTTATACGAGTACGACCGATGTGAGAAAGACGCGATCGTTCGCGTGTCTTTAAACCGGGATTAACCTTTCGCGAAGTTTTGATGGATCACCTGGCATTACAAATTGCCGCTTAATCCATCAACCAAGTTCAGCAGTTGCGGCAATTATTTTAATGTTCGCATGCACCTCGACACTCGCGTTCGTCCATGCGCTTGAACTACGTTCGAAATTGCATGTGCGTATACGCACGTAGACATATTACACACGTGTGGTACTAACATCTGATTTATCGAAAAGTAAAACGGTGGATTTTGAAATTCGCAGAATTATAGTTGCAGAAGCCTTGATATCAATTAAAATTTTGTTACATATTCGGAGATGTGTGTTTCTAAAAAGAAGGGTTGTTGTGTTGTTTCTAATAATTTTCTTTTTATTTTCAGATTTTAAATTCATCTCCGTGGGCCTCGCATGTATGGTACAGCCTGCATAACGACCCTTCGACATATGGCACTGCGATGAACAAGTAAGTACGCTAAGCTTATTTATTCAAACTACAGAATTTTGCAAACATTTTTATTTTGGTTGTTGGAGAATTTACTCTACACTCCGCGAAATTCTATAGCGTTTTATTTTGCATCCGTATCGGCGATTAATCTCACTCGCCGAGACTGCGCTCGCGATCGATCGCCACGTGAATTCCGATCGCCGAAGCGTCGGACGACGATTAATAAGTCTCCAATCAAGCCTCCGCTACGAACAGAGCGTATTTCCTTTTTTTTTTCTTACGGCGACAGCCGTTTCTACAGTTACAATTACGATCGCGATCGTATAAATCACGCTTCGAAGAACCTTCGTGGAGCCTCTGTGCCATTCTTGTCTGCCGGAGGGCGCTCTCTTTCTCTCTCTCTTTCTCTCTCGTGGTATGACATATAAACATTATACGAGCGAGTGCGATACTCTACTGCCGTTGTATATATGTACGATCACGCGACATAGTTACCCGCATGGTTATAACCGGGCATTATCATTGTCGATGCGCGTAATTGCCTCTCTACGGTTGTACGCACGATGTACTATGAGGCCGCGACGGTCCTTATCTGTACCTACGCAGACCATCTAAAGTAATTTTATAAAAAAAGGATATAATTATGCGTAAAACGCTAGAAGCAGTTTTGTATGTTAATTGTATCGAATGACCAATCAATTGAATACGCGATTGTAATTAAATACAGTTCGAGAAATCACCTTGTATATCTTACACCCGAACGGCATCATAAACAAGGAGAAGTGAAACATGGTGGTGGTGACAAAATAAAGAAAGAGAGGCCTTTGTTAAGTCGAGCGTCACGTTATCACCGCGCGATCATCGTCGTTGCGACGACGGGTTACGATGTAACGGCACTTTAAAGCTCATCTCTTTCCTCTCTCTCTTCCCTCTACCCTTCCTTCCATTGTGCCCTTTTTCTCTCACTTTTTCGCAGCGGGTCGTGCGTGCAACCGCGCCGTTGTCTGATGCATATGCGAGTGTTTGTGCGATGCATCCTCCTCCGGTCGTTTTGAATAATACCGGAAATCGCGACTCACACGCGGCTTGGCTTCTACCTCAACGATTCTCGCTGCGTGTCGAGCATAAAGATGATCGCGCTGTCGAAGAAAGTTTTGACGATTATATTATTACTTGAATTGCATTATTTACTGGAAAAGATTGAAGAATGTACATTCTTATAAATATTTAACGCGAGTGAATATATCATGCTCTTCGTACATACATACGAATGGTTCGTGCGTTGCAATTTTGTGAGTTATCTTTATCGCGCGAAGCATTCTGTCGAGTTCACTTCGCTTCTCTATACTCTCTGGAAATCCCGTGTTCCCTCAGGAACTCGAGTATCACAAAAGGAGAAACGCTTACGTAAAGTCTATTTACATAAACATTTCTTCAGTGAGGGGAGAGAAGTGAGAGAGAGATGTGGCTTCGCTGCAGATCATTTCTCTCCATCGCTACCGGAAGTCTAAGTTTCCGAAGGGAACGTATACAGCAATCGTAGACGGCACGATAGTTTTGGGTAGGAAGAGTTAATCCATCACCGGATCGAAAATAGCGGAATCTGGCATCGGCGATATGTATCACGGAGATGAGGGAGGGAGAGGGTGGAGGGCGTAGGGGGTCGCGGAATTGAATACAGCGAAAGGGCGCGCGTCGGCCGACAGAAATTGAAACGTCGCGCGGAAATTGAACGGCAGCACGAGAGGCAAACGAAACCTTTCCGCGACCGTGCACTCCGTGCGATTCGGTCGGCCGATCCTGACGCGGAAATGGAAGCGTCGCTTGTAAACTGGAGATCTTATAAATCAGTCCGGCATTTTTTGCGGCGAAACGACGCGAAGTCGCGCCCGAAAAGGTAAGATAGTATGGAATTTTGCCATTGTCCGACCCGCACGATGCGTTTTCTCCTACGTCTATTTATTCGCTGTCACGAAAAGAGAGAATCGTTCTTCTTATATATGTCGTACACAGAATGTCTCAAAATAGCTCTTTTCACTGTAGATTTTTCTTGAACGAAGACGCCGAGGAATCTGAATGACGATTAAAATTAAGAGCTTTTAGTAGAATATAGAAGTTTGTCTAGTACACTAACAATAAGTTAAGACGGACGATGATAACATATTTTTTCATTTTATTTCAAGTGGACTTTATTTTAATAGAATTTTAATTTAATGTTTAATTATAAAATAATGGCTTTTGACATGGCTAATAAGAAATAATATTTTAATTGGTCAAAGAAAATATAGTAAAAATATGATAAGAATATTCATTGAAATTAGGATATATTATAAATATATATTATAAATATTAGGATATATATATATATAATTTTTTTTTTCGTATTTTTTTCAACTTTGTTCTGTAACGATACAGCGCGAAGTAATAAAATCAACGAGCCATAAAATCGTTCGAAAATATTTTCTATCAATGTCAACGATGTCGTATGAACGAAAAATGTGAACTATCAATTGTATGTAGTTTGAAAAATATTGCGTTTTGCTATTACAGTTGTTTAAAAGTAAAAGTTACGAGTAAAAATTTTTTTTTTCTTTGTATCTTTATAATATAACTTTTTTATATTTTCTATTACTTTTTTCTAAACATGAAGTTTTAAAAATATATTGTAGTAAGTTCTAAAAATATGAAATTGTAATTTTCTCTACAATTTTCAGAAGTGCAATTTTAGAGAAATAATATTTTATATAGATATAACACTAAGGAAGTTTGTGTGTATGTGTATAAAGACAATTTAGCAACAAGGAAAAATGAAAAGACAATTTTATTGTTAGTTAAAAAATTAAATTTTCTACCAGAAAACCTAGGTTATTTTTATTAATATTTATATTGGATCGATTAAAGTCTCGATTCGCATGAGTAATGTAATGAAATCTTTTTTTTTTGGTTATCGCTTTTATCTGTTGGATTCGGCAAGAAGAACTTGCGTAATATATTCCCATTTTGTCTAGTGTGCGAATATTTTTATATATGTATAACCAAGTATAATATATTTCTTTGTCTTCTTGTATTGGGATATTTTGCTTCGCCGCGTCGCGTCGTGTGATCTAGTGCATTTGGAAATCAAAGATCCGATTACGTGACGAGGCGATTTGCTGGTAGCAAATCCGGTCGTATATCGGGTACATTCACGCAAACGAATCTCGTGTCGCTTACTCCGTCATTTCTTGCCTCATCCACGCTTCGTGTGAATTTCGCCCAAGGGCGGCGTCGCCTTGCGATACATTGCATTGAATCACTTAGATGCATGCATACACTAGATGCAGTTGTGCGGCACGTGCTACCGAGAAGCAGCAGGTGATACGTGTATTTATACGAGCACTTATCGCCATGAGATTACGTCTCTCTAATCTCTATCTGGTACACGTACATATTCAATCTCGTATACATTGCCTCTGGATACATTCATGTATCTTCATCGCGGGTCACGTGTAAGGAAATTTTCCGTGTGTCGCATTTGCCATTGTGATGAATTTGATATACCAATAGTGCCTGATAATTTTTGATGAATTCTGGAAAACCTGATATATATTGATAAAAGAAAGAGAGAAATACACGGCTAATGTGTGTTATTGTAAGTAAATTTAATTTTAGAAAAATATAAGCATTATTTTTTTTCAACTCTATTTTTTTGCGAATTTTTGGCGATTAACAATTTTTATTAAAATTTTATCTAAATAAAAATACATTATTTCAAAATGTGTATATATACTCAGGTTTGTATATAAGTTTATTTATAAAAATATTTTACATTATTAATTGTTTCTCTTAAAAAAAGGCACAATAGCTCTATTGTTGGTGTCGTTACATTTGAGCTTTCTACGACATTCTTATTTTAGATTATATTTTCGTGCGGAAAGTATCAACTCTATTTGCTATGTTTATAATTCCTTAAATACACTTAGCGCCATTTTATACATTATATCAATCAATATTATAGCGCCGATTATGGGTGACAGTGATTATTTAATGTGTCAAGACTCGATCGGCACGTCCGCCATCGATTTTTCGACGAGTACTCGGTAAGACGGATATCAATTAAGAGGCAGCGCGTTTCCCAGAAAGCGCACGGATCTTTTTGCTTATCCTTGTCGGGGTTCCCACAGTTTCTCTTCCTTTATTCTTTCCTGCGGACCGACCGCTCTCAGGTTAAGCAGCTAGGGAAGAAATCCTTTGAATATAATGCTGGTTGTTATCGCGCGCGTCAAGGGTTGGTTCATTTGATTGTTGGTCTCTTTGATTGTTATCTCTTCTTCGGTAGCTCGCAATAGATCCGCAACAGTTCGCGTTAATGAATCGTCGTCTTGAATCGTCTCTACTGACTGCGCCGAATTTTAAGAAAATCTGACTTAAAGTTCGCAATTTTTGCAACGATTAGCAGTCGCGTTGTAGCTTTCGATTTTTTGAATTTTACTTTTAAATTTTGAACTATATCTAAAAAATACGATTATACACAGTTACCGCAATTTTTAAGTTTTAAAAAAATTTTATTATCATTAGGAAGAAAGAGAGAACGGGAGAGAATGATTAGAGAGGGAATTTTTAAAAGTTTCGACAACTATAATTTTGATGTTCCGTAATGAACAGGTTAAATATTTATCGACTGTTGCAAAATCGTGATAAAGAACTGACTTTGAAAATAACCTTCGCGAGAGTTTTAGATCTCTGCAATATACTATATCTCGTTATCGCGCCCGCCGCTCGATCGTTTTTCCTCGACTCGTCGACCAATCTTCGTCCCCGCCTTCTATTCGTGACAGGTCTGCAACAGTTTGCCACTTACAGCACCTTCCGCTCCCTCGGCTATAACCTTCTCTCATTAACGTCCGTTACTTCGCACTCGATTCCGCACCCGGAACTATCTCAGGCTCGCTTTTCTCTCCCATTATTTCGCCGGTTTGCGGAACAAGGATGTGCCAGGATGCCAAAATGCAGCAATCTTCTTTTGTCGTAAAACGGTA